TCTACTGTAGTCTATACCCAGGCACTCACCAGTCGCAGAGGAAATTGTTCACCGTAAATGGAGTTGGATTGGGCACACTCTATGCTAATGCGACGACGACCTAGCCAAGATTGTCTTCATGTGGCAGCCAAGCGGGCAACGTCGACGTGGCAGACCTGTTGAAACCTGAACGCGTACAACACAAAGTGAGCTGAACGCAGTTGGAGCCTCTTGGGACTTCAATATGGAGGAATGGAAGAGGCTCTCCAGGGCCCTTTATATTAATCGGATTTACAACCACTGGAAGTCAACAAAAACACTACATTTAATTATTCTAATTACTGGGAAGTAAATATTTTACATGCACATTAACATACAGAAAAGTATTTGAGCATTAACTGCTGATAATTATTTATCAATTCTAAAAAAGAAAAACGTAAAAAAGAGTTTCTCATCTCCGTCGCGGCAACGTCATTACCGTAGCCTCAAAAAGGGTTACGGTAAAGACGGTAATGAAGGGCCTGGTAATGAAGAAATCAAATATATTTGAGAAAAACTCGCATCTTTCCCGCCTTTTCTCATAAAAGCTTTTATGGTTACCTAACACTACTTGAGAGTAATGGTTATAAAGCAAACAATTAAAGATATTACATAAACTTAACTCAATAATTCAGGCCGTGTAATGAAGAATAAACTGGTTGAAACACCAAATTACGCACTTCGATCTGATTTTGTCGCGAAAACGTAGACACATCCACACAGTACACAACGTCCGCCGATCGATTGACTCGCGGCGAGAGAAATGACGTCGTTTTGCAGCGAGATCAAAGGAAATTACGACTACCTCAAACACAAATAAATCTGCTCATGGTAATGAAGTTTTTATCGTGACAAAAGTTAAGGTGACAAAAACAATATGTCCTCGTATTCTAAATTATGAATAAAAATATAGATTTGAAAGCTTAATGATTTAGAATTTAGGTACCCTGTAGCAAGTGATGTTCTCCGCGCACATTTTGGAAATATACTTCTTTTTTTGTCGGTTCTGATCAGAGAACAGGTCATGGTAATGAATTTTTGGTACTAAAAAAAATTATATCTACCTAATCTACTATCCTTTTGTTGTAATTGTTTTTGCGCTATACTAAATAGGTTCAGGCTCTCCAAATAAGGTAGAAATTTTAGCTCTGCGAGTAATCAATGTGTGCATTTTCTTTCGGAAATTGAAAATAATCATGCTTTGAAGATTGACCCGATAAGTCTCTCAGATTCTATATTATACTTCGTGATAGATAAGTCTCTCAGATTCTATATTATACTTCGTGATAGATAAGTCTCTCAGATTCGATATACTTACAGTAGTTTTAACGCAAATATCGCAGGAGACATTGGGATTCAGTATGGTCTCCATGCCTTGCTGCACTTCAGGCGCTTGCTTCATGTGTTAACCAAACCGGGAACAACTCAACTCAACTGACAGCCGATGTGGCGCAGTGGTTAGTATGCCTGCCTGCCACGCAAAGGTTCCGGGTTCAATTCCCGGTGGGGTCACTCACAAAGTTGATATTTATCACTTTGTGAATTTGTTCCCAGTCTGGTTAGGACATTGCAAGCTGAACCTGCATTCCGAAGCCCTGATTGTCCGAAAAGCAAGATGGTTCCGTGCTTCGGATGGGCACGTTAAGCCTTCGGTCCCGGTTACTGTCTATGATGGCGGTCGTTACACAACCATGTCAGAAGCCTGCTACTTGTAGTAGGCGATTGAAAAACTCGTACACCAGGGTTCATCGGGTCATTAAACGACTCGGTGTCCCACATGAAGAGAGAGACTCACAGTAGTTTTAACACAGATGTCGCAAGAGACGTTGGGATTCAGTATGGTCTCCATGCCTTGCAGCACCTCTGCTTGCTTCATGTGTTAACCAAACCGGGAACAACTCGCAGTGGTCTTAGTGGTATAGGCAAACGTATGTCAGAGCGGGAGAGAATGACATTCGCCTCCATTTACAGTTTGGTTCGTCATTCGCGGGACTAATAGGGGAATTTCAAACCATCTTTTTGGGTTTCAAAATGAGAACCCTAATCCGAAGATTTAAAAAATTGTAGCTACGACTTTGACTCTCTAATTTAGCAGCTCAAATTTATTTATATTTTTATTTGAGATACCTCCGCCTTATTTGGCTTAACGTGATAAGTCGCATATTCTCGATATACTTACAGTTGTCTTAACGCAAATGTCGCAGGAGACGTTTGGATTCAATATGGTCTCCATGCCTTGCAGTACTTCTGGCGCTAGCTTCATGTGGTTGGAGAACTTGTTGAGGAACTCCTGGGCTTTGACAGACTCCGGGAGGAACTTCGAGCTGATTTGGCCTGTCAGTTATTTTTATTACAGAATCCTTCGCCTAATAAGTCTCTCAGATTCGATATACTTACAGTGGTTTTGACGCAGATGTCACAGGAGACGTTGGGGTTCAGTATGGTCTCCATGCCTTGCAGTACTTCAGGCGCTTGCTTCATGTGGTTGGAGAACTTGTTGAATAACGTGATAGATAAGTCTCTCAGATTCTACATTATACTTGTGTGTGCCGGCACCGTGTGGTGCCGGTAGAGTAGAATAGCACTACGCCCTCTCTTCCCGTGGGGGTCGTAAGAGGCGACCGAGGGATAAACCGGACCCGAACAGCGAGGGCCAACCGTATGGTGGCGGTTAATCTACCACAAAAGCATTCCTAAGGAGGGTTGACGTCTGGTAGGCGGCCGGTCGTAAAATTCAGCCAAATCTTTTTGCAACACGATTTTGTGTTCAACGAAATGTGTTGCGCCGACCCCAAGTAATTGAGATAAGGGCAGGAAGATGATGATGATTCTATATTAATACTTACAGTAGTTTTAACGCAAATGTGAATCTGAATCCCAACGTTGCTGTCTATGATGGCGGTCGCTACACAACCATGTCAGAGGCCTGCTACTTGTAGTAGGCGGTTGAAAAACTCGGACACCAGGGTTCATCGGGTCGTTAAAGGACTCGGTGTCCCACATGAAGAGAGAGAGAGAGAGAGAGAGAGAGAGACTCACAGTAGTTTTAACGCAAATGTCACAGGAGACGTTGGGGTTCAGTATGGTCTCCATGCCTTGCAGTACTTCCGGCGCTTGCTTCATGTGGTTGGAGAACTTGTTGAATAACGTTATAGATAAGCCTTTCATATTCGATATACAGGGAGTAACAGAAAGGTATAACAAGCCGAAAGGAGGTCAATGTACTTATGAAACTGAACAACTTTCCCCACGGAACATGGCTCGAAATATGAAAAAAAATGTACCTCCCATAGTAAATCAATTCGCTGACGGCAATTTTGTATGGGAGGTCCAATTTTTTTTTTCATATTTCGACCCATATTCCATAGAAAAAGTTGTTCAGTTTCATGAGTACCTTGACCTCCTTTCGGCTTGTTATACCCTTTCTGTTACTCCCGGTAGATAAGTCTCTCAGATTCGATATACTTACAGTGGTTTTAACGCAGATGTCGCAGGATACGTTGGGGTTCAGTATGGTCTCCATGCCTTGCAGTACTTCTGCTTGCTTCATGTGGTTGGAGAACTTGTTGAGGAACTCCTGGGCTTTGACAGACTCCGGGAGGAACTACGAGCTGATTTGGCCTCTCAGTTATTTTTTATTTCAGAATTCCCGTCTTTACGCATATCGTAATAAGCCTAGTCTAGTCTTCGATATACTCACAGTGGTTTTGACGCAAATGTCACAGGAGACGTTTGGATTCAGTATGGTCTCCATGCCAAACGGTATAACAAGCCGAAACGAGGTCAAAGCACCCATAAAACTGAACCACTTTCTCCGTGAACTGAACAACATTCCCAAGAAACTTAACAACTTTCCCATGGAACTGGACAACATGCCCATGAAACTGAACAACATCCCCATGAAACTGGACAACATTCCCATGAAACTGGACAACTCTCCCATGAAACTAGACCACTTTCACATGAAACTCAACGACATTCCCATAGTACTGGACAACTTTCTTATAAAACTGAACAACATTCCCATGAAACTGATCAACTTCCCATGAAACTAAACAACTGTCCCATGAAATTGAACAACTTTACCTATGAAACATAGGTCGTAATATGAAAAAAAAATCGGCTTGTTATCTTGGTCACCTTTTTGGTACTCCCTGTTTAATTAATTCCAAGTGCGATACACTTACAGTGGTTTTAACGCAAATGTCGCAAGAGACGTTGGGGTTCAGTATGGTCTCCATGCCTTGCAGCACTTCAGGCGCTTGCTTCATGTGGTAGAGTTAACCCTCCGCATACCAGATGAAAAATGTAAACGTGCCATACAAGGTGGGGTTTTCTAGACCCCAAATTCAAAGTAAAATTTTGTTCGCACATCTGTTTGTACGAAGTTTTAAATGATATTGATCATATTCTTATAAAATGGATGTGAATCAATTGAAAAAAAAGCAATTTATGAGCAATTACAATATAATGTAAATGAGTCGATGGAATAATTCAAAAAGTTTACTGTTCGGGGTCTGTCATATCCCATCTCGTCTGCGGAGGCTTACCGCGATAAGTCTCTCAGAATCGATATACTCACAGTAGTTTTAACGCAGATGTCGCAGGAGACGTTGGGGTTCAGTATGGTCTCCATGCCTTGCAATACTTCAGGCGCTTGCTTCATGTGTTGGAGAACTTGTTGAATAACGTGATAGAGAAGTCTCATATTCGATATACTCACAGTAGTTTTGACGCAAATATCGCAGGAGACGTTGGGATTCAATATGGTCTCCATGCCTTGCAGTACTTCAGGCGCTTGCTTCATGTGGTTGGAGAACTTGTTGAATAACGTGATAGATAAGTGAATGTTTTACTATCTTGTAGAAATTTTACACAAGATAGTAATTTTTTGAACACTTGGTGTTTTAATCAAACACTAGATATTGATATTAACTTTTTGTTACAAAGTTAATACAAACGAAGCAAGCGGAAAAAATTGACGCCACCGATGGGATTCGAACCCACGTCTTCTGACAAGCCGGGTCAGACGTGTTTTGACCGCTATACCACGGAGGCTCTAGCCCAGGCGGCGAAATTGTGATCCACTTGCTTCGTTCATACATTTTTGCTTCGTTTGTATTAACTTTGTAACAAAAAGTTAATATCAATATCTAGTGTTTGATTAAAACACCAAGTGTTCAAAAAATTACTATCTTGTGGAAAATTTCTACAAAATAGTAAACATTCACAAATCGGAAAAAGCTCCATCTCTCGTCAACTTGTACATACGTAATGTTGTCAGTTGAGTGACTGATAGATAAGTCTCTCATATTCTATATACTTACAGTAGTTTTGACGCAAATGTCACAGGAGACGTTTGGATTCAGTATGGTCTCCATGCCTTGCAGTACTTCTGGCGCTTGCTTCATGTGGGTGGAGAACTTGTTGAGGAACTCCTGCGCCTTCACCGACTCCGGGAGGAACTTCGAGCTGATTTGGCCTGTCAGTTATTTTTTATTTCAGAATCCTTTGTCTTTAAGCTTAACGTGATAAGTCTCTCATATTCGATATACTTACAGTGGTTTTGACGCAAATATCGCAGGACACGTTTGGATTCCGTATGGTCTCCATGCCTTGCAGTACTTCTGGAGCTTGCTTCATGTGGTTGGAGAACTTGTTGAATAACGTTATAGATTATCATCTTCCTAACTTATCCCAATTACTTGGGGTCGGCGCAACATGTTTTGTTGAACACAAAATCGTGTTGCAAAGGATTTGGCTTAGTTTTACAACCGGCCGCCTACCAGACGTCAACCCTACTTGGAAATGCTTTTGTGGTGGATTAATCGCCACCATACGGTTGGCCCTGGCTGTTTGGGTCTGGTTTATTCCTCGGTCGCCTCTTACGACCCCCACGGGAAGAGAGGGGGTGGTGCTATTCTACTCTGCCGGCACCACACGGCATAATAACGTGATTGATAAGTCTCTCATATTCTATATACTTACATTAGTTTTAACACAAATGTCGCAGGACACGTTTGGATTCAGTATGGTCTCCATGCCTTGCAGTACTTCTGGAGCTTGCTTCATGTGTTAGATTTATAACCCTCCGCATATCAGATGAAAATTGTAAACGTGCCATACAAGGCGGGGTTTTCTAGACGCCAAATTCAAATTATTATTTTTTTATATTTGAAGTCGCACATCAGTTTGTACGATATTTTGGAAATTGGAAAAAAGCTATTTATGTGCAATTACAAGATAATGTAAACAAGTCGATGGAATAATTCAAAAAGTTTATTGTTCGGGGTCTGTAATACCCCATCTCGTCTGCGGAGGCTTAACGTAATAGGTCAGATTCAATATACTTACAGTAGTTTTAACGCAGATGTCGCAGGAGACGTTGGGATTCAATATGGTCTCCATGCCTTGCAGCACTTCTGGCGCTTGCTTCATGTGTTAACCAAACCGGAAACAACTCAACTCAACTAATAGCCGATGTGGCGCAGTGGTTAGTATGACTACAAGCCACGCAGAAGGTTCCGGGTTCAATTTCCGGTGGGGTTACTCACAAAGTTGATATTTATCACTTTGTGAATTTCTTCCCAGTCTGGTTAGGACATTGCAAGCTGAACCTGCATTCCGAAGCCCTGATTGTCCGAAAAGCAAGATGGTTCCGTGCTTCGGATGGGCACGTTAAGCCTTCGGTCCCGGTTACTGTCTATGATGGCGGTCGTTACACAACCATGTCAGAAGCCTGCTACTTGTAGTAGGCGGTTGAAAAACTGTTACTCGGTGTCCCACATGAAGAGAGAGAGAGAGAGAGAGAGAGAGAGAGAGAGAGAGAGACTCACAGTAGTTTTAACGCAAACGTCGCAGGACACGTTGGGGTTGAGTATGGTCTCCATGCCTTGCAGTACTTCAGGCGCTTGCTTCATGTGGTTGGAGAACTTGTTGAGGAACTCCTGGGCTTTGACAGACTCCGGCAGGAACTTCGAGCTGATGTGCAGCACCTGCGAAAACAAAAGTAGTTTTAGTATTGTTTTTTAAAGAAGAGCGAAATCGCCTTAGGTCCTATAAATGAACACGGTGACTTTTGAAGTCAGCGATGACGCCCATTTTCAATCGAAAGTGAACTGTATCGCTAATAGAAATTCAAGGCGACATTGACTCAAAATATCCTAAATGTTGGACCTATCTTCAATTAATGCCTATGATGACCGTGAGGGGGGGGCCTTTGGCGAGCATTGGGATATAATAGGCTTATTATTATAATTATTTTTATATAATAAAAAGAGCGCAGGCTTGCACTTACCATAATAAATAGGACTTTTTTGTGGGACTGCGATATTTTCCTTAAGTTACATGTGTCGCAATCGCTGCACCCACTATATGCCGGCGTAGCCGGCCTTAAGTTACATTTGCCGCAAAGTTACCGTGGCAGCATATTTTATGTTAATCAGACACAATGTTACTTGGACAGATCTAACACATTGCACACAGCTGCTAACGGTAATTATCGATTACATTCAGAGAACTACTAACTTTAGTGATCCTTACCTTAGCAATCAATTCCTTCTGCACAGCGGGCGTGGGTGGTTTCCTATGCAGCTCGATCCACTCCGCGACCGTCCTCCTGACGGCCAGCTGGTGCTTCTGTAGCTCTATGAACGCTTTGGTAGCATTGTCATCCACGTTCGACATTAGGAAGTATAACTTCTTCATGCGAATGGCCGGTGGCAAAGTGTACGGGACTAGAGACGTGTTTAACAAGCGTTCAACGAGTAGACGGTCTTCCAAAGCGGTCATGTAGTAGCCGTGTAAGATTTTGTCTTTGATCCACTGCACGGCTTTTTCTGTGGCCGGCGGTACGCTCTCTTCTGTGAGGAATTTCTTGTAAATCATAGCTAGTCCCGACATGGCTTCTTTGCGGATTTTGAACTTTTTATCCAAAGTCCTCTCTCTGACAAAGTGTAGTAAGTCTTCCGACTCAGCGACCGCTTGAAAATCTCTTTGAGCCGTTGCTATGATCGCCATGACGACTTCGTAACGCACTTGCTCGTGCGCGTCGTGTTGACGCATTTTTAGCGTCTCAGTTATGTCTTTGCGCAAGTCCGGATGGTGCACTAAGAAATGCATGCAGTATTGTACGCATTTGATTCGGACAGATACAGATATATCGTTGAATCTGCCGAGGAAGGCTCGCCATAAGGCCGGGTATTGCTTAGCTAGCTCCGATCCCGGTTCTGAGAACATTCTAGCGAGTAAGGCGACCCCGCTGAGTCGTTCTTGAAACTGAGCGGACTTTAGTTTGCACTCGAGTTGCGGTAGTACGGCGACGAGTATCGAAGGGCATATCTGGTTGAGCTCGTAGATGAGTTCGTACACTTTTGAGAATATGACGAGATCCTGCTCTTCCTTGCCGAGGATCAGCACGTGGTTGAAGAACTGTGGAAAAAGAGAAAGTTAACTTATTTAGTCAGTTTAGCATCATACTTTTCACACTACATAAAAACCATGATGGTTTAGCTATTGAGTTAGATGGTTAGCTTGACAGCTTAGTGATTTGTTGGTTACTTGGTTAAATCGGTTAGTTTTTTATTTAGTGTCGGGCTTTGAGACAACATTATTCGTGAAGCTTTTATCTCGCCTCGCTCGCAATATTTGTTTTTTGTGGCTTCCCTCTCTGAAGCCACGAACGAGCTCGATTTGCTCGCTATTCGTATCATGTTCATGTAGCATTCTTCTCAATTAATTAACATGAAATCGCTAGCTCACTTCACTCGCAATACGTAGAAAGTCGTTGTACGACCCTTACTCAATTGATTAAACGTATAGTGTAACTAGCTAGCTAAACGAATAATTTCGATGTATCAGCCATACTCGACTAATTTAACGTGAAATCACGAGCTCGCTTGGCTCGCGAACGTATTAATTCTATGCTACGTACAATCGCACACTTACCGCTTGTATGTATGGCTCGAGGGTCTCAGAAGTCTTGATGACGAGCTCCTTAGCCAACGCGTACGCGTGTTTATGTTCCCGCTTGTTAGGTTCCACCAGGTTCATGAGGATGACGTTGAGCAGCTCGTTGGAGACCACGTCCGACTCCGTGATCAACGGGCACAGAATGTCCAGCATGAACGACTTCACTTTCGACGAGTGCTCCGTGCTAGAGAAAAATATCGTTTATCATTAGGTGCGTCCACATCAAGCGAGGCTGCTCGCTGCCTCACTACCTCGCGAGGCAGACGCTCCAAGTTCGGCCCAATTTGGACGCCTAAATAAATTAATACGCAAACTTCTGTGACGCGTTGATTTTGGTTCGGCCCTCGCGCGTTCGCCCGAGCACGAGCATACGTTGCCTCGGGTGAGCCTCGTAATTTTTTGGTTGTTTGCAGCGCGAGCAGCCTCGGTTGATGTGGACGCGGATATTCACTACTTTAGCTATTTTATTTAAACATTTAATGCACACAATACATTATTGACTATGAGTATCTCAATAGACGCATGTAACCCACTGCCTTAAGGCGTTCCGTTTTCCATACAAAAATTCAATGGAGTTATGTATGTAAAGGAGACAAGAGTCGGTTTAAAAAACTTGATGGGGAGTCCCGTGGGTATATAAGATTGTCGCAAAACACTAAAAAGAATTTTTAAATCATCAGATTTCCCCGTAAAAAGCGAGTCGCCACTTTACGAAAATAGATGGAGCTACTGCTGCAATAAATACGTTTAATTTTATTGTGCAGAAAATACTGATTATCTTTTAACTATAAGTAGTTTTGCGACAAATTTACGTGTGCCTTCATCATTCAGAATAAAGTTTCTTTAAAAAGAAACTCTACAGCTCATGTGTAACCCGACTGAAGTGCAGTTTTTCGTTTGTATGACGTAACGAACCACCTTAAGGTTACATGCGCAAAGATTGCTGCACCCACTATGCCGGCGTATCCGGCCTTAAGTCACATGTGCTGAGATTACTGCACCCACCCTTATAAAAACTACACTGTTCATCAGAAAAATCGAGACACTTAGCAAGTTTACGTTTTGTACAGATCAGATTATCTGGAAAA